CTTCCGCACTCTAATATAAGTTATTTTTGTACCAAATGTTGTAATGTTGTGGCAACTCCATGTTGATCGTGTATGAGTTGTAAAATGTGGATGATTTGGGTTCCCCGAGGACACCCGACAGACTACCTGAGTTATTTGGCTCTTGTGTGCAACAGCCAGAGGTCTTAAGGATGATGACAGGTGCACATGGGCCATATAATTAGGGTGTTCTACCACAGTACCAAAGGCGTCCCAGGGCTCAAGATGCAGCCAGAACGGTAATCTAGGAGGTGCCTGCTGTAATCAATGGTAGTTATGTTGCCAGTTAGGGGTTAAAACCGAGAGAGGTGCATGCACAGCCAGCTGCATGTAGTCAATGGCAGTAAGCTGCCGGTTAGGGAGTAAAAAGTTGATGGCTAGGAGAGAATCGAGGAGCTAGGACTTAGGAACTTCTATTTATATCTTGTAACCGTCTGAGAGAGAATCAAGCAATGAACAACAAACAATCTAGTTACCCCCAAATATTCTAGTGTCCCTCCACGCTGACTTTGCCCGGCCTTCCTCTTGGCAATGGTTATCCTCCCTATCCCCGATAGGAACTAAGGTTCTTAACGTCTGATATCGGCTTCAGGCGCCCCTATCTCCAATACAGCCCCTACCCTTGATCGTTCTTGATGGGATTGCTTCCAGGAGCTAGCTTTCAATCTTAATCACTCATTGCTACAAGGAATCGAAACGAGAAGGCTCGCTGATGGCAAATTTTGAAAGATACAGAGGGTAGCCATGGTGGACGTGTTCTGGCTTTTATAGCAGAGCATCGTGTGGCAGGGCAGACATGGGCTCGACCGGTGCTCGCGGTGGCTTCCAGAGCACGACGGGCGTCCACTTGCGCAGGTGGCGGCGCCGCTGACGTGGGTGGCGTGCGCCACACTTGCCGCGTAGGGGGAGCTCGCCGCCGCCATGGATAAGGCCCAGGCTGTGGATGATGCCTAGGCCCAGATGACGACGTCGTGTGCGGCCGCGGTGTATGCCAAGGAATGGCAACCTCGCCTGTGTCTAGCTCGCCTACCTTCCAGAACAGTGCTCAAGGGCCTCGTCAAGCTGCAGGAGCGGTCGCGCGACGGCAGCAGCTTCACCGCCGTGCGTCGGGGCAGAGCTCGCCCACGGCGGCCGGGGTAGAGCTCGCCCACGGCGGCTGGGCAGAGCTAAGCTCACCCGCACATTGGTAGCGGTGGTCGGGGCGCTGGTCGCATTGGCCGGGGATGCCCCCAGCACCGCGTCGGACTCTCGGGCGCCATCGATTCGGCCGGGGCGACGCTGCTACACGAAATCTCTATCTCTACAACTAAAATATTCAGAAGAGAATCGTTGACAGTCGTGCGAAATAAATCATCGCTCGCCCCGCTCCCTTGGTGCGAAACAAATCCCGACGCCTCCGCCGCTTCCCTCGGCATCCTCTGCCACGCGCCCCCTCGCGTGAAGCGCCGCACCGAGCGGGACAGCCGGCCACCGCATTGGCATGAGCGGGTGGCCTAGACCAGGCGCGGCGGACGACCTCGCACGATTCACCCCGCCCCGCGCGCTATCTCTCTGTCCCGCGGAACTGCCGTTCGCCCGCGTACGCCGCCCCAGCTCCGCAGCTCACCCCACGTGCGTGAAACAGAAGCAGACGGTGGAGGCAAAGCAGTGACCCAGCAGCGGAGGCGGCTCCTCCTCGCCCTCGCCCTCGCCGTCCTCGGTGCCTGCCTCAGGTCCGGACGCGCTCCGCTTCGCCAAGCATTTGCGCGACAAGCCGGACGGACGGGGACGTGGCCGTGGACGTCAATGCGTCCAACTTCACCGCCTTGTCGTTCGCGGTCGTCGAGTTCTTTGCCCACTGGTTGGCCCCTTGTATGTGACTTGATTGATTCATTTTTATTTTTGTCCTTTTGGTTCCCGTTGATTCAATGCGGCTAGCCTCCCTCCAATCCCCTTGGCACGGCGCACCTGGCCGCCGCCGTGACCCAGCACATGGCCAATGGCGAGCGGCGGCTGATGAGGCACGGTTCAACGGCGAGCGGCGGCTGATCAGGCATGGATCCTTGCAGCGGCCAACAGCGAGCGGCTGACGAGGCGTTCAAGGTATCTTTCATCTCTTCTCACCCTTCCTTCGTCTCTTCTCTTTTGTGAAGAAGAATCATCCGAATTGCTTGATAAGAATCAACGTGATGGATCAATATTGAACAAATGGTGATTCACTGGCCACTGCCATTCCATGCCCGCTAGGTGTTTGTTTCTATGCCAACGTGGTGAAGCAATCCATGGATGCGTGCATGGTTCTGCCAAACGTGGTGATTTTTCTATCCACGTTATAGGATGCATGAATGGAATCTGACCCCTAGTGATTGTTTTACTTTTTTCCTTCCTTCAATGGGTGATAGATTAATCATGCTCTGTTTTATTAATCATGCTCGTGTGTTCCAGAGAAATAATAATAATAATATCTATGACTGCGCTATATTTGTCATCAGTTAGAAATCACTGCATTATGCAATGCATTGGTGCACTGAGCATTACCATGCTCCTTTTAGTAGTTATAAATCACCTGTGGGTTCCAGGTTCAGAGCAGAGCTTAAGCTCAACGCCGACGACTAATGAGTCAATGGAACAACCATTGAGTTATTTTAATTTTGACTACTTTATCGGGGATCGCTCCAGAAGTTGAACTGAATCCTTACATTTTTAAATACCCCTGTATCCAAGCAGAGACTTCCTGTTTTTCTGTGCCTCTCTTCTACCACATCCATAGTCTTAGGGCCTATTTGGCTGGTATTAAAGCCGACTGAAGCTGTTTTGTTGTGAGAGAAAAATACTATAGATTCTAGCTGATAAGCCAGCTGATAAGTTCAAGCGAACATACCCTTATCAACTTAGAAACTGAAGCACCATCCGAGAATCATTCCTGCCGACAGTTGCATTTCATTTATTTAAGATTTTCGTGTGCCCTGTGCCTGGATGAAATAACAAACTGTGAGCGGCCTGCTAGCTGTTATCTAGGGATGCGCTGTATGCCTGTTGTTTTAGCACAAATGGGTTTGGAAAACGTTACTTTGCTATTACGAAATGACAATTTTTTGTTGCCTTAAAATAAATTTCTGGATGTGTATCGTTTTTATTGGTACAATTTTAGAAAATAATGGTAAACTCTGTTAGGTCACTGTTTCCAACTGCCATTGTTGATGTCTTGTGCAGTAAAAGCCCAGTAGGGGATCACCCCTCCTGTTTCCCTCGAAAAAAAATCACTGTCACCCTAAGCAATCAATACGAGGAACTTACTCGCTGACCCAATATGCATGCTTGTTGTCGAGGTTTGAAGTTTCTTAGTACCCTTCTAGAGCCGTGGAGCATAAGTTTTCATTCTTTGTAATGCCGTGGGTATCTTCTTCACAGGTGCCTGGATGGAGTGGACTGTCAAACCCACAAGTCACAACATTTTGAAACATGCGCTTTCCTTTTCATGAAAAAGTTGTTTTTTATGCTGGTCATTAGCCTTGAAGCAAAATTTATATGAAAAAGAAAAATTTGTGAAATTAAATACTAACGTTAAAACGAGCGGTCAAGGTTTTGTTTCGCATGAAGGGAGCGGGGGCGAGCGATGATTAAATGTCACTTTAACGTTGATATTTAATTTTACAGTATTATTATCTTATCGTGCGATCCGTGTGCTTTTAGTATAAAATGTTAACTATCCCATAGTAACACACGGACACAAACCTAGTAGAAGAAAAAAGAGGAAGGTTTGGGTGGCTGACAAACGGGCCCCACTGTAGGGCAACATGGTCATTTCATCTGTCTGTTTGACATCGTTAAAGGTAAAAGTAGACGGAATGGTATGGAAGGTAAGAAAGTTTAGCGTCATGGCATCAGGGTGCGTTCAAACTTTTTAGTAGCCTGTAGGCTAGGACCATCTTTCATAATGGCACACATGTAAAAGGCTCATTTATCTTGGAATGAACTTGTAACCAGTGGCAGTTTCTTAGCTGAGTTGCTGACAGGCAGTCTTGTAAAGTTCTCTTCCATCCATTTTGCAAAATAATAATAAATAAAAATGTTTTCTTCTTTATTTTTTTCCTGCTGCATTCATATATTTGTATAGGTGCACCGTGCATGTGCGTCAGTTAACAAATGAACAGGTCTGTGACTGCGAATAAGGAAAACCAATTTGCATGGGCCATAATAAGATTTTGACGTCCAATGGCACAATGTTCCTATGATTGATGTAGGTTGGTAGCATGGGTATGATCTATGAGGGGCCAAGGATTTGTGGGCTTTTAGTATTTTCATCGTCACTGCGCATACACATTAACATTACCGATTAAACCACAAGGCCGTGTAAGCTTTTCAATGTCACCTGTCAAGTGTAAAACTTGCAATAGCGACTCCGGTATGTAGTATTTCTCTTCTAGTATATTTTTTACCACAATGTATTGACACGTACGCATTTCTCTTAAAAGAAATTTTATGGAGACAATAAAATCTATCAGAGTTTGATCAAGTGACAAACAGCTCCAGACCAATAAATTCATCAAGGATATATAAGCAACAGTTCCGGAAAGTAGTGAAAAAGGGAAGAATGTCCAAAGTTTATCTCTCGACATGCTAAATTATATATACTCCCTCTATTTCAAATTATAAGATGTTTTGGCTTTTCTAGATACATTGCTTTATTATGTAATTAGATATAATGTTTATTTAAGTGCATAAAATTATGTATCCATAAATGCCAAAACGTCTTGTAGTTTGGAATAGAGGAAGTAGCATAAACCCCTTCCTTCTTTAAATGAAGGGTATATAAATTTTGAAGAAGAAAAAAGCCATCCACAAGGACGGATTTATTTTATTATGCTTGCTCATGCATTGTTTTAGCAGCACGAGTGCGTCCATGACTCGTATACATGTATGTATACAGTTAGCTCAGAACACTCCTCTCCATTTCTCCAATCGACCAAATTAAGAACATGATGATGATCCCCGGCTGTGTGTCATGGCTTCCGGCCACGGCCGACGTGAGCGCACACGCCGGCGTCGAGGGTGTTGTAGTTGACGTACCGGCTGGGCGCGGACGGCGGCACGCGGAACCCTCTCGGCATGCACCCGCCGGCCGCCCGCCCGTGGAACAACGGCTGCTGCCGTCCGCCGCCATGCTGTCTCGGCCCGAACGGCACGAGCGACGGTGGCCTCCGCTCGCCTGCAGCCACCTCGGTGCTGCCCGACGACGCCGGCGCCGGAGCAGCTGGCGACACGGCGGCAGACACCACCACCACCACCAGCAGAAGCAGAAGCACGATCATGGCGACAGGGCTGGACATGGTTACGTGGAGAGAAGAACGTGTCAGGGAGGAGGCAGCGCTGGACGGCTTAGCGCAGGTAGCTAGCTCTGCTGGCTTCTTAAAGAAAAGAGAGCCGGGCCGGGCTCGTGTGCGTGGAGAGTACGTGTGCGTGGCGGCGTGCTAGGCTGTGAACGGGAGGATGCTCGTGCACCCCAGTTATTGCGCAGGCTGCCTTTTCCTCTGCTGCGTGCATGGTCGCTAGCTATTACTTGCACGTACAAATTTCACCCGTGGGAACAAGTCAGAGCATACTAGCTAAAGCAACAAGATTTAGTTGACGCGTCAATCGTTCAGTTTCGTCGTGCGAAGGGCACACACTGCATGCACTTTGATGTGTACTTGTACAGCTGTGCATGCCTCGTGGGTTTGTTTCATCATACGTCGATTTTTTTTTTATAAAATAAGACTCTTTTCTTTCGTTATAGGTAATTTTCATGGAAAAAATTATATATATATATATATATATATATATATATAATCCACTAATCTTTGTTAGGTAAGAGTGAGACTATAAATTTCACTCATCTCTAATAAATCTCTACCTTCAAATATATATATTGCATTTAGAGAGCCATTAGCCTCTCCAAAATTAGAGAGCTAGAAGGGTGGTTTTGAAGAGCAGGAAAGATGGAGAGTGATTTAGAGTCTATTGGAGATTGGTTTTTTGTTTGTTTTCTAAATTTTGTGATAAAGAGCCAGGTAGGGAGTCTCTTGCAGATGCTCTAATCCCAAACCTTTAATATGTGGGAGGCACTAGTGCCCGGACATCCGGCCCCAACAGCGCATCAGGGCGCAACTCCCCACTCGTACGATATGATCCGGCTTGAAAATTATGTGCTGAACTTTTACTGAAGAAGACTGCTCTATTCCGATTTCAGCTGAAGCCGATGCAAAGAGGACGGTGGCAGACACGGGAAAGGGGAGACGACGAAGGAGACCATGGATGTCTTCCCCCAGAACGCTGGGTTCAGCTCGGAGGCCGCCACGAAGGAAGCCCCTGATGCGAGGTACTTGGTGAAACGGAGACCTCTCCGTTTCATTCGGTTTTGTTTCACAGCCATTCTTGTTCATATACATGTTCAAATTTTTAATTGATAGAAGTTGTTCTTGTGTAGTATAAGTTGGCTACCAAACCTAACAAACGGAAAACATCCTGATTCTCAGGGAGCAAGAGATGAGCAACGGGAAACAAATTTTATCTTGTTTTGTATTTTTTCGCATCAGGAGCTCGCGAAACTAATCAATCAGAGCTCTGCCATAACTGTGAAACCTTACACATCAAGGCTACTTGTCAGTGATCCAGATCTCCTCTTCTTACTTCTTATGAATGGTGTTCGTGTCGGTGCGCTATGTAGCCGTCAGTGTACAAGATTTCCTCTGGTAAAATTTTAATGTGTGCTGCTTATCTCAAGATCCCTTATTCTGCTACTTTCCTGATCATGGTTTTGGTATAAACTGGTGGTTCGTTGTACCTAATGTCCTAAATGATTTGTTCACCATAAAATAGCTTTGGGTAGTGTTAACGAACTGATTCCAGTTCGACAATTCTTTGTCGTGGACGATGAATGTTCCTAAATTAAATGAATTTGCTCCTACAAAAGCATTTCTGTTTATGTTCAGAGTTTGGTGCCCTGTAGAATAGAAAAAGAAACCGAGTGTTGATTAGATACAGCTTCTACCTAAATTAGTTTGTACCTGTATGTAAGGTCAAATCATTGTTTCACTCTCTATGATCTCTACTTAGCTAATTGTTAAGAATTTTGGCAGGTATTGTTCTCGTATGCTGTGCAGCATTGGAATACTCCCAGTGCTGATTTTTATTTTTCTTCTCCATGGTAATTATCAAAAGGGGCACAATGTTAATTTTTTTTTGCACAAACTATTTTTTTGGATAAGGGACAATGTCAACAAAAGGGCCCTCTTGTTAAAGGTTTAGGAATGAGGCGCCCAGCTGTTCAAGATAGATGAGGTTGCACAGTTGTTTGAGGAGGCAAGAGCATTTCTGGGGGAGTGCGGTGCTTCTCATCCTGATACTCTTTGCCGAATTTGTGTGTGGATTTGCGTTTGTTTCTGGTTGCTGAGGTGGTGCGACCGGACGGAGCTGCCAGCACCGGAGGCGGTTCAGGTGAGGGGTGGGGAAGCTGGGGCGCTGCAGATCGCCAGGGGCTTGGCAGAGGTGGCGCGGCCCGGGCTTCAGCGGCATAGGGTGTCCACCATCATTTTAGTCTTTCAAGCAACTTCTGGTAAGTTTCACCAAAAAGAATTTTAGAGGTCATACAATGTATGTTTCTTGTCATATGTTTTGTTGTATTGTAATTAGTGGAGTTGCAATGTAATTGTTGTAAAAGGAAATAATTGGAATGAAAAGGTTGGCTACAAAGTTTAGAGGTTAACGGTTTGTGAAATATTTTTCATGTAGCAAGGCATGTGTTTTTTAGGTCTTTAAAGAAATTTATGTTTTGTCAGCTCATATTTTGATTGTTTTAATTTGTGTGTCCGAATGCTGCCGTAGCGTTAGCACGGACATACTACTAGTCTCTTCATGTCTCCAACAGACTCTGTAATTTGTATCCTTTTTACTTTGGTAGTTTATCACAAATCTTCTTGTGTGAAAAAAGTCATGAGAAAACTATATATATTGCATTTAGAGAGCCATTAACCTCTCCAAAAATAGAGAGCTAGAAGGGTGGTTTTGAAGAGCAGGAAAGATGGACAGTGATTTAGAGTCTATTGGAGATTGTTTTTTTGTTTGTTTTCTAAATTTTGTGATAAAGAACTAGGTAGGGAGTCTCTTGGAGATGCTCTAATCCCAAACCTTTAATACCAGGGAGGCACTAGCGCCCGGACATCCGGCCCCAGCAGGGCATCCGGACGCAGCTCCCCACTCGTACGATACGATCCACAGGAGCTCGTCCGATACGAGTGACTCGCACCAGCCTTCCCAACGCGACTGTCCACAAGCGCGGCGTGTGCCGGCCCCTAGCCCGCCCCGTCCATAGCCCCTGGCACACCGCGTGCCCCTTCCGCAGGCCCCCGGCTCATCACGCCCCATCCCCTGGCGCCCGGCCCATGCCCCCATGACTCTTTGAACGTATCTCTGAAACATGAAACACTTACGACATGAAAACAATTGAATGCAACATACGTCTAAAGGAGATGAAATATTTAGAACATACACATGCAACATATGTGTGAAACATATGCAACGTCCAGATTCACTTGCAACTTGCAACACGAAGACACTTGCTGCAACATAAGACTGAAACAACTGAAACATTTGGAACATACTGTTGTGAAACATATGCAAAATTCAGTTCAGAACGCTTGCAACATACGTCTGCAACATATGACACATTTTGAACAAACGCTTGCAACATGTGCAAACATCCCCGATTTTGTTTTAGAACATCCATATGAAATTCACTTCAATTTGTACGTCAGTGTTTTCTTTAGATGTTACTGGTGATGCTTAGCACCCAGAGAACTACTTACTTTCATTTTTCAATTCTCCGGTCAGAGCATTTCCTGTTCAATTTTTAAATGGTGCAGTTTGTTAATTGCTTGTATTGCCATTTGTTTCGGAACCGAGTCTTCTGGTTTGACGAGAATATGGATTTTATGATTTTAAAAATGTGTAAATTGTACATGAATATGGCCAAAATAATGCATTGGCCCCGTTCGTTTGGCTGAAATTGGCTGAAAAACATTGTTCCGGCTGAATTGTTGTGAGAGAAAAACACGGTTCCGGCTAAAAAAAGAAGCCGAACAGGCCATTGTAGACGATTCATAATTTTTGGATTGTAGGTGACAAGAAACTGCGAGCTTCAATTGCATCATTGCACGTCAACTGTTGGTGGACTGAAGTTCCTAATCCTACGAACTCAGGTTTGACCATGTCAACTACAGTGAGCTTTTTCTTGATTATTAGTACACTGAATTTTCAGAGAATCCATAGATATATCTTTTTTGTTACAGCAAAATATCAATATCTCTGAATTGCAAGTCAGCATAATTTTATCTTGTGATAATATTGACTTGTTGCTGCTCTGGTACACTATTTTTTACCCGAAATATATGTGCATTAGTTATTACCATGCATAAAGCTGAGAAGTACTATTCTAGTTCAGGAAAGCAGTAGGTCTGAAATCTATAAAAAAAAGTGATTTTCAGGAGTAGTGGATTCAGATGTTCAGTTACTGGCGGAAATAAAACTTGATTTAGTGGACTTCAACTTGTGTGGTCTATAGTTCCTCAAGTTACTTCATTCGCTTTCCCTGCTTCCTGATTCCAGTCAAGATTTGTCATGGAGCCTACAACTACATAGGGAAGATATCTGTTTAAAATATAATCCAATAATATGATATTTCTACTACTGACTGAAAGCAGCCAGACATGATTTTTTACTGGTCTTTTTATATTCTTATTTTTACAAATTTGAATCTCTTGTCACACACAATATTGATTTGACAAAGTTGTCCTTTCCAATGCGTGCATCTTCTATTATAGATTAATTGCACACACAATATTCGATATCGATTTTCATTATGTGCCTTTAGTGCTAACTGCACTATTATATTAGCTGTCCCGTAGCAACGCACGGATGCATAATTCTCACGGCATCACGACGTTCGTGGTGCTGTGAGTGGCGGAAACATACGACGTCTAGGGTTTTTGACAATGTCAATGCCGAGAAATACACACACTGCTCTAAGTGACGTCACCAACAACCAAGTCAAAGGTATGCTTTAGATTAACGAGATGTATACAACAGTGCAAATAAACTCTTTAGGCGATGTCTTGCTCATTGACTATATGAACGATCAGCTACTGTAGACAGTGCCGAATGTAAAAGGGAGGAAAGGAGCGTGGCGCAACGAAAATGTCGAGCTGAGATATCAAGTGAACAAAGGGAAGAGATTAATAGGAAACTACACGAGCATGGAAAAAGGCCGCAACCCAAAATACTAGCACTTCATGTG